TCAGGGAAGTTCTCAGTTATAATTTGTTCAAATAGACCTTCTGCCCCCTTTTCCTTCTCTTCTTCTAGGACTCCTATGATATGAATATTATTGCACTTTGTGAAACCATTGAGTTTAAAACCTCGTCTATATTTGTGATCTAATAGTTTTCTGTCCCTCTTTTCAGCTTATTTTCCATGATTTTATCTTCTATATCACCTATTTGTTCCTCTGCCTCTTCCATCCTTGTTGTGATTACAACCAGTCGATGTTGCATCTCAGTTATAGCATTTTTTATTTCAGCCTGACTAGTTTTTAGGTCTTTTATCTCTGTAGTCAGGGTTTCTCTAGTGTCTTCTATGCTTCTTTCAAGCCCAGCTAGTATTATGACTGTTGTTCTTAATTCTTGTTCAGATATATTGCTTATACCTGTTTTGAGCAACTCTCTGGCTGTGGTTTCTTCTTGATCTTTCTTTTGGGGAGAATTTGTCCATCTTGTCATTATGTCTAGGTTTCTGTCTTTTGCATGTTATGAAAACTTGTTAGTTTCCTGCTTCTGAGAGTAATACTATATTATGAAGTGGGTCATACACTGTTCAGGGCCTGGCGCTTCAGGAAGTGTTTCTGGTGTATGTTGTGTGTACTCTGCTGCTTGTTTTGGCTGCTCTTTCCCACAGGCCAGTCCCCTGTAGAGTTCTTCCTTGCTTGCAGTGGGGCGTGTTTGGATCTTTAAGTTGTTGTACTTGGGTCTGTTTATTAAGATAGGCCTAATAAGAAAGAAAGTAAGGAAAAAAAAAAGCCCAATCTAAGAAAAAAGGAAAAGGAACAAGTGAACAAACAAATCAAAAAGTATACGCCTGATTCCAAAGAAAAATAAATTAGGGGAAAAAAAAAGCCTGATCCAAAAAACTAGGAAAAGAAAGAAACGAGCCAACAAATGAACAAAAAACTATAAGCCTGATGCCAAAGAGGAAGAAAATATACAAAAAAATAAAAATAAAAATAAAAAAATAATGGGGGTTGGAGCTGAACTGCAGCTGATGCTGTTGGAGCACTCTACAATCAGTAGCCTTGCTGCATGGGAGGGCCTGTGTTGGCCTTCTGAGAGAGAGGCCTGCTGCACTGGCTCCCAGTCAGACCAGCCCTTGTAAGGATGCCCCTGCCAGTGCACTTGCGGGGCGGGGGGAGGGCGGGTGCAGAGTTTGGTGTAAGTGACTCCAGGGGTTGTGTTCTGTCTGAAGTCTGACTATGCTGGTGGGCGGGGGGGATGGGGTCAACCTGCCCTCTCGACAGGGGGAGGGAAACTCGAGGCTGCCACTGTTCAGGAGGCCCTCACAGAAAAGTGAATGATCTTTTCTTCTGTGTCCCAGGCTTTCATGAGAACCCTGCCTTCAGCCTATCTGTGCCTGGCCGTTGGCCTGCCCAAGGCTAATTCTCCAGTGTTTTATCTCTGGCTGGCAGCTGGGATTCAAAACAACAAGTCTTAAAGTACCTGGCGGCACGGGAACCCGCTCCCTTCTCCTGAGAGTCTTGCAGTGCTGCACCTGGCACCTTTTTGTCCCAGAAAAGCAGCTGCACACCTGTATGAGTGCCCAGAGTCTATGCTGAAACACAGCAAAAAGCCACAACCAGGTTATCTGCTGTCTGCAGGTGCCTCTGTCCCCTGCTGTTGAACGGTGGTTCAAAACCACCTGGCAGGTTTCTGTCCTTGGAAAGGCAAAATATCATCTTCCAAATGCACTCCAGGAAGGGGAACATTCTCTTCCCCAGTGACCCACGATATCCCCACACCACCGAGCCTTGCTCCAACCCTCCATCCCTGACTGCTCTATGAAAAGGGTTCCCACCACTCGGTAGTACTGCAGCTTTTCTCTCTCCTGATTCACTCTCTGAAGCTCACATTTCTTTCCTCAGATCGGTTTCCTAGTTGTTCAAAATGATTTGATGTTGATCTAGCTGTGTCCCAGGGTCCCCCTACTATTCTGCCATCTTAACTCCTCCCCCTATCCCAAAATTTTAAATATTTTACTCTACTCTCTTCTTGCTTGCATGGTTTCAGAAGAGAAGTATGATATAATTCTTAACCTTGTTTCCCTTTAAGTAAGGTCTTTCCCCCTGACTTCTGTTAAGATTTTGTCTTTGATTTTCTATAGTTTGAATGATATGCCTAGGTATAGGGTTTTTTGTTCTTGTTTTTTTAAATATTTAGCCTGCTTAGAATTCTGTGAGCTTCCTGAATTTGTGGTTTGGTGTTTATTAATAATTTTGGAAATTTCTCAGCTGTTAATAACTTTGAATATTTATTCTGTTCTTCCTTCTTTGCTATTGCCATTATGTGCACATTACAATTTTTGTCCCACACTTCTTGGACATTGTTTTTTTTCCAGTCTTTCTTTTTTGCAGTTTGAGAAATCTCAATTAACATGTCTTCAAGCTCACTGATTATTTCTTCAGCCCAGAGCATTATTCTAATGAGCCCATCAAAGGCATTCTTCATTTCTATTATAGTGTTTTTTATTTCTAGCATTTCTTTTTGATTCTAAGAGTTTCCCCATCTCTGCTTACATTACCTGTTATTATATGTTGTGTACTTTTCTATTAGAGCACTTTGTTATATTAATCATGGTTATTTTAAATTCTGGTCTGCTAATTCCAAAATCTTTGCTATATTTGGATCTGGTTCTGATGCTTGCTTTCTCTTCAGACTGCCTTTTGCCTTTTAGCGTGTCAACGGAGTTTTCTGAGAGCCAGGTAAGATCTATTAGGTAAATGTTACTTAAGGAGATAGGTTTTGGGGCGCCTGGGTGGCTCAGTCGTTAAGCGTCTGCCTTCGGCTCAGGTCATGATCCCAGGGTCCTGGGATCGAGCCCCGCATGGGGCTCCCTGCTCAGCGGGAAGCCTGCTTCTCCCTCTCCCACTCCTTCTGCTTGTGTTCCCTCTCTTGCTGTGTCTCTCTGTCAAATAAATAAAATCTTAAAAAAAAAAGGAGATAGGTTTTAAGTGTGAGGTTCTATGTTTATCTGGATAACATTAGGATGAGTTTACTGCCTGCTATAGTTGTAGGTGTCAGAGGCTTTTAAACATTTCCTCTGGTGTCTTTGTTTTTGTCTCCTCTGTTGTTTTCATTTCCCTAGAGACTCCTTCATATATAAGGTCTGAGAGGTGTAGTTCTTTCTGTTGTATCCCCCTTAGGAGCCTTCCTAATGTGTGGTGAGGTGTGGGGGGAGGAGAAGTGTTTTATAATCTTATGATTAGGTCTCAGTCTGTTAGTGAGCCTGTATCCCAGGGTTGTGATCCTCACAAGTGCTTTCAGTTTTTTGTCTTCCTTCATAAGTGAGACAGGAAGGCTAGAGGAGGCCAGAGTTGGGTATTTCCATTCCCCCAGGTTGGTTAGACTTTGGTAAAAGTTTCCTGTGCAGGCCTTTGCTAAGGAGAACAGAATGCTCTGGAAGTATTTCAAAATGATTACTTTTCCCCTCCCCTTGAGGGAAGATTTTTCTCAGATCTTCACTGTGAGAACCTGGTGGGGCTCTGCTAGGTAAAACTCACAAAAGTACATGAGACCGTCATGGCTGGGTCTTCACAAGTTTTTATCTCTCAAGCTAGCCCATGCTCAGATTCTAGCAATTAGTCAAATCACTCTTTAAATGTTCCCACCAGATGCTGGCTGCCGCAGTGATTTCCAGGTAGTTTCTGCTCTGGGTAAGCTCTGCTTCTCTGTATCTGCCCATCTCCAGTTTTCATGTTCCTATGCCTTATGGTCTCAATTCTCTAAGGATTCTCAATTCTCAATGGATCTAAGAAGAGCTGCTGACTTTCAGTTTTTTAGCTTTTTTCTTGCTGTGAGGACAGGAGTGACGATGTTCAAGCTCTTTACATGTTGGAAAGTAAACTACCTTAAAAATATCTTTTTGATCTCTCCAGTTATTTACTTAGACTAATTAGTTCTCTAGAAGTGAACTTACTGCACAAAGTAAGTACATACTTTAAGGGTTTTGATACATACTGCCAAACTTCCCTCCAAAGAGGTACCAAATTAACCTATATTTACTTTTCTGCTCATAAACCTTCACTGCTCCCTCAACTGGTCAAAGATGATGTCCACTCATCTCTACCAAATATACAAGCCTCTGATGGTTGCATAGGGTTATTGAAAGGCCCTGTACAATATGACCCTCATCTGCTTTGCAATTTGATCTGTCACTACTCCCTAACACAATTCTTTGGTTTTAGTGCTTGGTGAACTTACTGTGTAGAGCATGCCATAATCATTCATTTTGTTTTTATTCAAGTCATCTCTCAATATTGAAAATGCCTTCCCAAGTCTTTGTAGCCTTTTTCAACTCAATTTACACTAGCCCTTATCAGTTTCCCACATATAGCTACCTACAGGGCAGTACTTCCAGCACCCTGACAGGTGTCAGGAAGGCAAGAAGTTTGCAGAGAACACTTTTATAATAGAGGGCACAGAGGATAGGGCTGTATTTACTCTCTGCAAAGTAAAAGGGACTAGTTTAGGTAATACAGCTAAGAATTTCTAATATCATTTGGAATAATTAAAAAGTTGATGGTTTATGAAATAAAATGACATAATTATAGCTTTTGGATTTTTGCTTCTTATTGTATTTTTGTCCCCCCCCCATTGCTCTAATCTGGTTTCATTCTTTGCCCAATTTAAAACATCAATACTACCAAAAACTAATATCCCAGATAAATTAATTATTCTATTAACATATTTAGTGACATTAAAAACTTACCTGTTTTTCCTTTGGCTCTTTAGAAAAACCCATAAACAAAACAACTATTTCTTAGATAAATACATAAAATGTTTAACTACACTTGTGTCATGAAGAATGTAAAGTCTAAATAATAAGCAAATGCATGGTACAAAGAATTATAATTAAAATGAAGAAAAGTTGTTACCAATTCTGAAAAATAGAAGTTTTTCAGCCTTAATGTTTGATTTCTAAAAAAAAAAAAAAACTTAAAAAACTTAAAAAAAAATCCAAAAAACAACTTACGTTCCATTTGGTCAAACATTACTGAAAAGAGGAAGTCTCGTGGTGTCATATAATATTCTCCTTCATGTTCCAGTGAAGAAAATTGCATGAAGCGCTGTTTACGAAGGGACAATTTTTCTCCCATCTCTCCAGAGTCAACATTTTCCTAAAAGAAAAAGAAATTGCAATTTAAGACTTTTTTCAGTATGATTCCCCAACTTAGCTACTTCTAGAATAATCTTTACAGAGTAGTTTTAGTGTTTAGTCTAACAATCTCCAAATCTTTCAAACATTCATTTAATAAATATTTACTTGACTGTCTACTCGCCACTCTTTCAGGCATGAAGATAAAACAGTGAATGATACTAACTTGAAGAACTTCCATTCGAGAGTGGGAAAATGACAATTAATGAATACATGTAGAAAATAAGGTGAGATAATAAGAAGTGCCACAAAGAAATATTAAGCAGGATAAGAAAGTCGTAAGGAGTAGTATTTTAGATAGGATACTCAGGGGAGGCCTTCCTAAAGAGGTGACATTTAAAGACACTAAATGAGGTACAGTTAGTGAGCCCTGGGGCTCTCTGGAGGAAGAGCATCCTAAGCAAGAGGTAAAGTAAATCAAAGACCATGAGATTCCTCTGTGTGTGTGTGTGTTCCTAGGTAAGCCTGGTGTGTTCAAGGAGCAGTGTGGCAGAAGATCAGATCAGAGAGAAAAGTAGAGGCAATGGGGTGCCTGGGTGGCTCAGATGGTTGGGTGTCTGCCTTCGGCTCAGGTCACGATCCCAGGGTTCTGGGATGGAGCCCCGCATCAGACTTCCTGCCTGGCGGGGAGCCTGCTTCTCCCTCTCCCTCTACTGTTCCCCCTGCTTGTGCTCTCTCTCTCTGTCAAATAAATAAATAAGTAAAATCTTGAAAAAAAAAAAAAAAGGTAGAGGCAAAAGATCAAGTAAAGTTGTGCTTTTTCACAAAGATAAAATATATCATGTCTGATAAATAGCTCTGCTTTCAGAAATATATTTACATCATGGGTGGAGAGTGCTAAAAGGACAAGAACTGGTAAAATATTGTCAGTGTAAGAGTCTGGATATCTCAGGCAATGGCACCTAGACCTTGACTCAATGCTGAGATAAACAATATTGAAATCTTTATTGCTAACCTTTTGTTGAGCACTTACTACATGCTAGGGACTATACTAATAAAGCACTCTACATGAATTATTTAGTTAGTCCTCACAATAACTGAACAACAGATACTAAAGTAGATATGGCGACTAAAGGAAATGGCACAGCCAGGATAAAAAACCAGGGGTGTCCAACTCAAAGTGTTTCAATCCATTAAATACCACACTAACCCCCTATCCATGGCTGGGCACTGTATCCTAGGCAAACTGGAAGAACACAACACAGCAGTTAACGTAAACGCCAATGTCAATATAGCAATCTTGACACAGAATGCGAGTATTATCTGTGAAATCCAAAAGCACACTCTCACCTTGGATTGCTTTCCTTAAAGCACTTCTCTGACCTGGACCACAACATCCTTCCTGGGCACATTACTTCCTTTTCACACTTACTGCTACTGAACCTATTATTTACCCTGACACACAGTGATGTTCACTGACTAGAATTGAAATGGGGGAAAAATGTGAATTCCAGTTGCTTAAACCTCTGCAAATTCAAAGCCAACAAAATTCAAAGTTAACAGCTCCTTTTTGGCTGATCTTGGTTTTCTGACTAGTATTCTCTCTCCCATTTTGACAATTGCTTTCCTTGAGAAGCTAGTTTTATGCCTCTTTTGTGTTCTACACAGTGCATGCCAGAATACAGGACATATATAGAATACTCAATAATACTGGAATGATCTGAACCCCTATCTTCTTCAGAACCTGTCTATTCATGTCTTTCCCCTTAAATTACTACTATAAAAATGACTTGAGGCACGCTTTGATTACATGAGTCCATACTCTTACATAATAATCAGAAAATTGAATTTTCTTAATACTCTCTGAACATTTTATACATGAGGCAGATACAGTAACAGATATATTATTATTTTATTTAACAAACTGATACTGAGTATATGTAGGAAAACAGTGGCAAACAAGACAAACATTAATTCCTACTAGAACACACTCAGTGTTTTGGCAATGAAATTACAGAAAGTATACATGAGACAGGGAAGGGAGGGTGGGTAAGAGTCTTCTCAGTAAATGTCACAGCACTGTCAAAGTCCTAGATATGAGAGAGAATACAGTGTATTAGAAGAACTGAAAGAAGTTGAGTAAGGACATATACATTATTAACTTAGAGAACAATTCATTAAAAATACTAAAATTAATATAGTCTAGTAAGAGATTAACAAAAGTAACTAATCCACACAGAAATATAGTATATTTCCAAATCCTTAAACAAATGCTGTCTTTCTTTATACTTCCTAATACCTAAGTTGTTCCTGACTGATTAAAAGAGTACCTTTTTATCCAACTCAATCCTTTCTGTGTAAATAAACTCTTCAAATTTCAACCAACTAAAAGGAGTCAATTACTCATTTATTCTCCTCCTCAAATGGTCTCATAGCAGGACGGACTATTGTCAACTCTGCCTCTCTTCGTTTTCATGTTGTCCTCCATCTTGCAGCAGTCCTACTCTTTCCTGGTATATTGAAAATGACCAAGAAGTAAAAACACAAACCTCCCACTCTTTTATAGCATGACATGAAAACTATTTTCAAAGAAATCCTATTTTTTTCTTTTAGGAGATTTAGACCCTAAAAATCCCCCTATCTCATGATTACCATTTTCTGTATGCCTGTATGTCTATAACTTGCACAAGCATGACATCTCTGAAGAGTCTTGAGAAGAATCAATTATTCTGGGAAGTGCCATTTTAAATAATGGTTGGTTGGGTTGTTATCCCTTCCAATTTTGGTTAAATATCCTCTCTTGGGAACAAGAAAAAGTAGAGGCGGTAAAACTAAAACTCCCTTTCAAGGGCTGATTTCTGACCTTAAAGTTGTCATCTGAATTACAGGCCATGAATTTAGGAGGTCACTTATAAACAAATGACCTCCAAAACAAATCTGTCCTACCACCATGACTCCATTAGTAGACGGTGTGATATACGAACATCTAACAACCCCTACCCAACATCCTCACAATTCAATCTGGTATTGTGGCCTTTAATTCCTGTTACTTCATGGTATAAACAGACCTATTCTCCTACCCCGAAATCTTTTAACTCCCATGCCAGCAGTAATAATGTCTCTCTTTTTTTCTAATCCTTTCTATTATCTCTCACACTCTGCTTATTGAGTACCCAGCTATCACCTGGGGTCACCACCACTGTAGATTCTAATCCTACCACTTCTCTTATGGAATATAAAGTGGACGCCCCCAACTTACAATCTCTTAACACTGGTCTTTCCCTGCATCCTCATCTACCCTTCAAGTAAGTACTTAATTGAGCATCTACTAACTTGAGGACACTCTAGGAAGAGACAGAACACATATGAGTCAAGACAGCAATAGGACAGTACTTAATCCTAACAATAATAGCTAATGTTAATTAAACAGGTAGTATATGCAAGGCAAGTGCTAACATCTTTACATACACGGTCTCACTCAACCTTCACAATAACCTTGAGAGACATCATCTTTATCAACCTCATATTACAAAAGAAGAAACCAAGGCTTGTCAAGGTTTACCTGCTTGCCTAGATCAACACAGCAGGTAAGCTGACAGCATAGGCAGTATGACAACCCTGGGCTCAAGCACTATCCTATACTAGCTCCTCTAAGAATTATATAAATTAAGAAAACAAAGAAAGCAGTGTGGGTAATGATGGCTGAGGAAGCTCATGAAAACAGTGGGATTTAAGCTAGACTCTAGAGAATAAAAAGGACTACAACAACAATTAGCCATCTTTTAGGGCTAACTGTTGTTCATTTTCTAAATGGTATGTATTACTGCTCTTGTTCAATCAAACTTAAAGTAAGTAGGATTTCTAATATGTTTCTTTGCTACAATAAAATTTTTGTAGAGGGAAAAATATTGTTTTAAAGCTAGAGCTAGAGCTAATTGCTAGAGCTTTTGTAATTCCAAGCTGATGAACCAACAAATCAGTTTTATTTAGGTCACCTTTATCATAGTTGAATTTTAAGTTTATTTATTTCTTTAGTAATCTCTACACCCAACATGGGGCTTGACCTCATGACCCTGAGATCAAGAGTTGCATGCTCCTCTGACCAAGCCAACCAGTAGTTGAGTTTTAAAGTACATTTTAAAAGACCACTATTATAATTGATGTGCAATATATATTTATGCTTTTTTTTTAAAGATTTTATTTATTTATGTGACAGAGAGAGACACAGCAAGAGAGGGAACACAATCAGGGGGAGCGGGAGAGGGAGAAGCAGGCTTCCCGCGGAGCAGGGAGCCCGATGTGGGGCTCGATCCCAGGACCCTGGGAACATGACCTGAGCCGAAGGCAGACGCTTAACGACTGAGCCACCCGGGCGCCGCTATGCTTACTTCATAGAATTTAGACAATTTACCATTTTTTATTGAAGTATAAACATACGACACGTAATGTTACATTTAATTTGCCATTTTTATTATTTTATTTCTGCCTTACTTCATTTGTATAACCATTTTGATCAAATCTCAGACTTACTGGATGGAATTAATTGTCAAGAATTAACAATTTTCCCTTCCTCCCCAACCCTTTCTTTCATCTCTGTGCTTTTCCTACTCATATGTTTGCATGCTCTCTTTTTTCTCACTTCCCCTTCCTTTCTCTCCTTCCCTTGCATGTTTTAGGTGGCTTTATTTTATTTTTAAAAACTTTAACTTAAGTAATCTCTACACCCAACATGGGGCTCAAACTTACAACCTCAAGATCAAGAGTCCCATGCTCTACTGACTGAACCAGCCAGTCGCCCGAAAATCAGGAGTTTTCAGGGGGCTTTTTAAAAATTGTTAGCTGCTGTTCTCATATTCCTTGAACTATTATTGTTGTTATTGTTATTGATATTGTTGTGGGTACTCATTTCCTTTAATCTCCACTCACTTTCTTTAGTCTCTTTCTTACTTTGGTATATGTGTGGCCTATCTGTGGTAGGTTGGGCTTGACAAACTGAACTAAGGCAAAGACAATGGCTTGTAG